TTTCTCTAGTTGGAAAGTTTTGTGGTCACTATAATTGCCAAACATGATTTCTATGTATAAAGTCTGTTCAGTTACAGTAAATGCCTTAGCCAACAGGTAAAACCATTTAGCTCATGTCTTCAGGTGGTAAAGACACAGATATGTAACTGAAGTTAATGAGCACTGTAGAAATCAAGTCACTCATATTTTACAGGAATAAATGATGGTGCTGCAGCTGTGGTTCTTATGAAGAAGTCAGAAGCTGATAAACGTGGGCTTACACCTTTAGCACAAATAGTTTCCTGGTCCCAAGTGGGTGTGGAGCCTTCCATTATGGGAATAGGACCAATTCCAGCCATAAAGCAAGCTGTGAGTATAACCCTGTTCCCCTTTATGAAATTTGTCTTCCTGTTAGCCTTAAATGAGCTTATTCATGTAGTTACCTTTCCCTACCAGAAGAGTAACCAAGAGCATTTATTTCTATTTTTGACACAAGGTCTTGCTCTGTTGTCCAGGCTGGAGTGCAGTGGCATCATCACAGCTCACTGCAGACTCAAAACTCCTGGGCTCAAATATTCCTCCTGCCGCAGCTTCCCAAGTTACCTTGAACTACGGGTGCACCACCATGCCTAACTTCTTAATTTTGTAGAGACAAGGTCTCACTATGTTGCCCAGGCTAGTTTTGAACTTCTCAGTTCAAGTGATCCTCTGGCCTTAGGCTCCCCAAGTGTTGAGATTTCAGGTGTGAGCCAATACCCCCAGCCACTGAAAGCATTTAGATCATATGCTTTTTAAGGGAACTGATTCTGTTACATTACCCTTAGATACATATAACAGATGCTACTGGTTCAAAATTTAAGACAATTTAGAATTTCTAAGGGATCTTTTAGATCACATCCTTAACCTTCTGGATGGAATGGGTATCACTAAGGCAAAAATGTGTGAGAATGTCACTGTATTAACCTAAGAACAAACGAAAGTAGCAATTAAGAGATCAGTATCATGCAGCATATTTCATATTTATGTTGACAAAGGATGTTTTGGCCTTTCCACCAAAGTTTAGACATCTTTTCTATGAATCTGTCTTCTAGGTTACAAAAGCAGGTTGGTCACTGGAGGATGTTGATGTATTTGAAATCAATGAAGCCTTTGCAGCCCTCTCTGTTGCAATAGTTAAAGAACTTGGATTAAACCCACAGAAGGTAAAGATGCACAAGTAACCCTGAGTGCTTACCAGTGAATTTCACAATGCTATTTTAAGATACTATCTTCCAGGTGTTGGCCATGTGGGTAATAAAGAAATACTAGTTACTAGGACTGAGTTCACGTATTTTGTTACTTCCCATGGTTTAAAAAAAAAAAAAAAAAGCTTACTTGGCATAAAAAGAATAAGGTAACATAGGCAGGGATGAATTTTCACAAAGGTGTAAATTTATTCCTAAACAGTTAAAATGAAAATTTGAGTTTGAAAGGGTAGCATGCTGATACATTAAGAGGAAAAAGACAAGTTTAGGATTTTAAACTGTACCCACAGAAGAATAAACAATCTAAATCTTTTCTCCCCCTTAGGTCAACATTGAAGGAGGGGCTATAGCCTTGGGCCACCCTCTTGGAGCATCTGGCTGTCGAATTCTTGTGACCCTGTTACACACACTGGAGAGAACGGGCGGAATTCGTGGTGTTGCGGCCCTGTGCATTGGGGGTGGGATGGGAATAGCAATGTGTGTTCAGAGAGGATGAATTGCTTAAACTTTGAACAACCTCAATTTCTTTTTAAACTAATAAAGTACTAGGTTGTTATATGTGAAATCAGAGGACCAAAACACAGATGGAAACCATTTCCTATATCACAAAAACCCAAGTTTACAGCTTGTTGTACTTTAATGTGTAATACTTAGGTCAAGGTACAAGACAATTGCATTTAACATTGTTATAAATAAAAGAGACATCAGATCAATCATTAAGGGCTCCAGAGTGAACAGCATCTTCATAACTTCCATGTTTATCATCTTTACTTTCTGGATGTAATTTAATAAGATCATCAATTCGAAGAATGGTAATTGCAGCTTCTGTTGCAAATTTCAAACTCTTAACTTTAACTATGGTTGGTTCAAACACCCCTGCTTGTTTGTTGTCTCGAGGTTTACCATTGCTCAAATCAAGACCAATCCTGCAATTAAGAAAGAACTATTAAAATGGCCGCTTACAACTTAATTAGGTGACCCATTAACTCCAGCATTTCATTCAAGTATTAAGCTTGATTTTTAAGTCAGACCAGAGATCTTGTAGGTTGTCTTTCTACCCAAAGCAGCAGGGAGAGATTAGCAATCAGAGTTGTTAACTAAGGCACACCAGTGCTAATAATTAGTCATTATCCCTTGAATTACAGTGACTAACAACAAATGCTTGCTGTGAAGTTTTTCATGTTAAGTAGTTGACAAGTCTGTTATTTATGTTTGCTGACATGTAACTGACTACTATCCTTTTTAATGGAAACTGTTTTGCAGAGGTTAACAAAGGGCTAAAAAGATGTCTAAAAAGAGGGAAATTGTATGCTTACCATTTTAGATTTTTACGTTCTGGGTTAACCTGAGCCTCATTATGAAAAGCTCTTAATTTTGCAACCAGATCTGTGGAGTCCTGGGCAGCATTAACTGCTAGTGTATTGGGAATAACAAGAAGTGATCTTGCAAACTCTGCAATAGCAAGCTGTTCCCGAGACCCCTAGGAAAAAAGGACAGTTAGGTGACTTCACAAAAGGGAAAAAAAATTAAAGCCCACAGCTACTGCTCTAGGGCCTCTAAGACAAGGAATAACTGTTCTTACCATGCTGGTTGCATAGTTTTCAAGGTATATGGAAAGGGCTGCTTCTACAGCACCTCCACCGGGAACCACGGATTTTGACTCCAAAACTCTCTTCACTACACAAAGTGCATCATGTAAAGAGCGCTCCATCTCATCACACATGAAATCATTTGCCCCACGTAAGATAATCGATGCAGATGTACGAGCCTTAGTGCTGTTCAAAAAAAAAAGTGAAATTCTTGTAACAGCATTTTTTAAATGTTTTTTTTTCCAATACCATCAATTTCTCCAAAAAATGGCATTTTAATAAGTCTACATAAGTGCCCTTAAGTCCTGCCTACACAGGATACTTAGATACACTATACAGAAACAATGTCTAGTCTATGCAGAAGAGATGAAAATGGTTACTTCATCTCAATTCACAGTGACCCAATGTTATTTTATCCCACGCGTATAACTGCTCATATCACTGTGAGACTACAAGCAGCAAATAAATGGGAAGAAAACCTACTTTTACTTAACAAAATCTGTATAACTTTACAATTTTAGAAAGTAGCTCTTACTTTTTGATTAAGATCAGCTCATCATCACAAATTCTCTCCTGTACCACTTCTTCTGCCTGTCCCAACATTGCAGCTTCAAAAGTTTCTTCACCTTCCAAATTGGCCAGGGTTGACAGAATAGTTGCTATTAAGAGTTACAAGGGATCTGTAAGTATCGCTCTTTCGTGATTTTAATATTCTTTAGACTCAGTAGCATTTGTGATAAAAGTGCTATATTACAAGTTTAGAATTTAGTTAGGCAGCACACACTAACTCCTTTTATCCTAAGATAGAACTATGTCATTTTTGAAGTGAACAAATTCAGTTCATGAATTTCCAACAAACTTAATGAATTTCTCCAGTTACATGAAAAATGGCTCTATAAATGTGTTGGCAGCACAAAGCATTAAGAGGATATAAACGTTTTTGAAACTGTTTCTTATCAATATTCCAATGTAAAAAGACCTTTGATGGGGTCAGGTATAATGAAAGTCTTTTACGTGACAGCCAGCACAAGACATACCTCCAGAAGCTTTCGCGATGCGTTTAAGGTCCCTTTTTAAAACTCTTCTAACTGCCATAGCACCAGCCTCCACAAAATACTTCAGACACATATCATCAATTCCACCAGTGGTTAGAATAACATTGGCACCAGTCGCCAGGATCTTCTGAATTCTCTCCTTGGTGATATCTGATTCTCTGCAAAGTATTTTTGTAACCCAGAGTTACCTTCTGTGATTTTTAAAAATAATTTAGCTTTAACTTCCATTAAGTATTTATCACAAGATAATCATAGACTAAATTGTATTAACCTTTGTTATCTCTGACCAGAATTTACATTAGTCCAATTCATGGAATATCAGAAGGAATTAAAAATTACCACTTAGCTCTCCCCAACCTGAATTTGAATTACTAATCGAGAACTATGGTAAAACAGGGAACACAGGTCCTGCCTGCCTTCAAGGATCCAGTGGGGAGAGGGATTACCAATCACACTCCAGGGCAAGCGTCACTGAAGTGGTATGCAGAGACTACAAGCACATAAAAGACATAAATTTAGCCTAGGAGGCAGATAATGAAGTCAAGAGGAGTCCAGGCCGAGTGCAGTGGCGCAGTGGCTCACACCTGTAATCCCAGCACTTTGGGAGGCTGAAGTGGGCAGATGACCTGAGGTCAGGAGTTCGAGACTAGCCTGGCCAACACGATTAAACACTCTCTACTAAAAATACAAAAAATTAGTCGGGCCTGGTGGTGGGCGCCTGTAATCCCAGATACTCAGGAGACTGAGGCAGGATAATCACTTAAACCCAGGAGGCGGAGGTTGCAGTGAGCTGAGATCATGCCACTGTACTCCAGCCTGGGCAACAAGCGCAAAACTCCTTCTCAAAAAAAAAAAAAAAAAAAAACACCAGGAGTCCAGAGTTGGAAGCGCAAAAGACGGTAGAACCAGAAAAGTGAAAAACCTTGTAGGTTACACCAAACAGTCTAGATACTAAGAAGCTTAACATTTTTAAGCAAGACTAGTATAATGTTATCTGCGTTTTCAAAAGGATTCCCTGGTATCAATGTGGAAATTGCCCTGAATGGCTTAAGACAAGGAGATAGTAACATGAGATATAAGCTAACAGACAACCTAAACAGAAGTCAAACTTAATGGCTTGGGTGACTCCTGGAGTAAAATAAATAGCAACAGTTCGGGGGGCAGGATGGGAAATCAGAGTTCAGTTTGGGACAAGATTAAGTTTGAAGTCTCTGTTGTTACTCAGATGAAGCTCCCAGGAGGTAGTCACTTAACATCATGGAAACCACAAACTATGGGAGATACAGATTTGAAGAGACAATATGAGTGAAGCCATGTGAATAGATCATTCGAATAATTTTTAAAGTAAAATGAATTACAGATCAACCTCAAAGGCAGCTTATCTACTGAACAAGTACTGTGTGCTATACACTGTACTAAGGATGGGGCTACGATGCCAATGGAATCATTCTGTCTCTACTATTAGAGCTTACAATTCATGAGTTGTATAAACTCACAGTAAAAACTGTAGTAAGCCCCAGGAAGATAAAATACAGGAAGTTACAAAAGAATATAATTTAGATTGAAGAAGAAAGAAAAGTTTCTCTAAGAGACTAGCTTGGGTGTGTTTCTACAACAGTCTAGGCAAGAAAATGAAATGTAGGTAAATTTAATTTGGAGGTAGAAATCAAGTGGTGTTGGTGACAGATTAGGAGAAAAGGTGTTGGTAAAAAGGAGGAGTTAAGGACGTTTCCTAGTTTTCTGCCTGTGTGGAGAAGTCCCCATCACTAAAATGGTCAAGAGCAGATTTGCGGTATTATCACAAGTTCAGAAACATGTTTACTTTGAGATGCTTGAAAAACATTCTATTAGATAGAGGTGTGTGACTTTGGAGCTCAGAGAAACAGCTTAAACAGTCTCTGGCATAGAGAGATAATACATGAAGTCATGGGAACAAGGGGCTATTCTGGAGAATATTGTGAGATGGTGGCCCAGACAAAGCAGTATCACAAAGCATTTCAAGAAGGACGTAATCAAAGGGTTGCTAAAGGTCAAGTAAGAGGAAGGCTGAAAATGTCTTCCGAATTTCACACTAGAGACCTTAACATGCAGTCCCTCAAATGGAGAACAGGGCTGAAAAGGGATGAGAAGAAAAGCACCAGAAAAGTTTTGTGTAGTAAATCACTCATGACATCTGGCTGTAAGGATGTAGGATAGGGAGTACCTACAGCAGGAGGATGTACGAAGAAGCCTGAAGGGACAAAAGAGCCACATGAAGATTCCAGGAAAGAGCATAATTAGTAGGTATGAAAGAAGAATCAAAGACAAGGCTCTAGAGCAGAAGGAAACAGATTCTGGAACACTTACTGTAGAGCGACTGGCTTTGATGGAAGAAAGGACACTTTGTTGTATCAGGAAGGAAGGAAAAAGAATACGCATGCAGATTGATTTAAAAGATGAGAGCACATTTCTTACCCTCGGCAAAGCTTTCTTGTAGGTTTGGTTTAACTACTGTTTAAACTATTCATTGTGTTTTTTTTGTTTGTTTTTTTAGACAGGTTCTCGCTGTCACCCAGGTTGGAGTGCAGTGGTCCAATCACAGCTCACTGCAGCCTCGACCTCCTGGGCTTCAGATTCTTACCACCTCAGCCTCTCAAAGTGTTGCGATTACAGGCATGAGCCACTGTGCCCAGCCTAAACCATTTATTGTTTTAAGTCACTATTAGGCAGTCAAATCTATAGCAGCGGTCACACTACCTCCACCATTAGCTCTTCAACCACTAATATCACCTGTACCTCCAACCAGTATCTAGCAAACAGTCAATACCATACTGCTGAGTTCTGTACTGCTTTGAGGAAATTAGATTCCTGTCTTTTATATCTTTAATATTAACAGACTCATACAATCAAAATTTCACAAAAAGACAATTTTCATATAGGTTGTATAACCCCAAATCCCTCTAAAAACACCACCAGGCTAATTTTTCTGGAAGTTTAAGTAAAATAGTTTGACTTGGCTAAAAATGTTAAAGTCCTCCAAGACACTCATACTTAAAAGCCCAAAAATAATCTCTCAACATACCTCTGTCTAAT